GGGGGGGGGGGGGGGGGGGGGGGGGGGGGGGGGGGGGGGGGGGGGGGGGGTGCACGTGCATGCCGTAGTCGTTAGACCATTGACCTCGCATCCCCATAAAGCCGGGACGGAGCACGCCGGATTCCCACTGCACCAGGCTCTCACATCACCATACGCGAAGCGCTGTGAGGTATTCGGCGCGTCGCATGAAGCATGCGCTGCATCCTGCTAAGGGTGTTGGGCATCTTGTGCTTACTTACTTGCGTACGAATGACAGCTGCGTATGACTTAATTTATGTTCTGGTGCTTTCACTTCCAGAGACAGTTGTAAGTACTNTTACTTCCTTGCGTACGGATGACAGCTGCGTATGACTTAATTTATGTTCTGGTGCTTTCACTTCCAGAGACAGTTGTAAGTACTGTAACTGCCTCGAGGGTGCTTTGACCAATTTAACACAACATGGTGCGATTATCCCCTTTGCGCGGAGTGAAGGTTCTCGACCCCGCACAACATAATCTACTCGACCACCATTCATGGTTACCGCAAAAAAAAAAACAGAGGAAACAAAAAAGCGTTAACCTGGTTGCCGAGCTCACGAAGTGATCGGCTTGTGTTTCAACGTCGTTGCCAAGCGACGAAAACCCAAACCTCAATGGCAAACACCAGAGGGGGGGTACGGTCAACGGCGGGGGGGGAGCACTCTTACGTTTTGCATGCCTTAGCGGTTAGGCCATCAACCATGCGTCCTCGAGAGGACGGAGCATTGTTCCCACAGGACCGATCACCGATGCCCAATCGTTCCTTCCTACTTTGCCAATGGTGGCTCAAAAATGTCTTCCCTAGTCTGTCTATCCTAACGATATCCCTTCCCGCCATTTCAACCCACTTCCTATGCCCCAGTACAGCTACCGTCCTTTCCTCTCTATTCCATGCCTCAAACATCTCCCTGTACGTTCCATCTATTTTTCCCAGCTCAGTCACGTACACTTCCCTCTCCTTCTTGTACAACGGACATTCCGCGACTACATGAACACGGTCTTCGCATTCGAAGCCGCAATCACATTTGAACTCGTCGTCTTCCTCGTCTACCGTCCTATGTCTTCGTCGACGTTCTCGAAAGCCTATGTCCCCGGTCCTGAATTTGACCTTAAGCTTTGTTCCTGCGTTCATTGGTCCGTCTAGGTAATCCTTGAACCCTATTCCTTCCTTCAACATTCCGTACACTTCTAGATCCTCCTTATCCTTCGTTTCTTTCTTTAGATTATGTTCTCCTCTCTCGGCACAAGGCAAGATATACGTTCTCCTTCAACCCCTTTAGACCCTCCGTAATTCCAGCGTTTCATCTTCGTCGATGTCGAGCCCCTTCCATACGTCCTCTACAATCTTGACCCATTTCGTGGGTTGTCTACCCATCTTTTTGTCAACGGGGGGTATGCTCCAAATCACGCCTGGCAATACTGCCTGTCGTGTGTAGTGTACCGTAGACCCTCGCGTTGCTGTCTACAAACTCGGGCCGAAATACTCGCCTTCATGGCCTTTACTTGCACTTCCACAAGGAGAGAGGGAGAGAGGGAGATAGCGAATCACACTGGTAATACGTCGCTGCCTCACGGGTGTCTGACGAAAAATACAGAATACGAGCCGAGGTCTTCTGTCTCCCTTCGGTGGACCAAGGCGAGGATCTCTCCGTCTCTCCATCCACCCCGAGCAAAACCGTGATAAAGTAGCTCAAGTCTTCGGACTCACAGCCAACAATGGCAAGTGAAGTGGTGCAACACCCGTGTTGGACGGGCGAACCCGAAAAATTCACAGGCGGACCATTGCAGGGGTCTCGATAGAATTGGGCGGTAGGGGGGATTGCGGTACGAGGGCGTCACGACGTATGGGCAGTAACGAAAACTGTTCGAGAAATACAAGCGTTCGAGTTCACCGAGCCAAAGCAAAAAAAAAAGTAGCATTCGCGAGGATACGAAGCCCACCTATCGAATTTCATAGGTTATCATCTTCGCGAAGGCAGTCCCGAACAATGCGATTGTTAGGCTAGATACCTCCTCAGAGGTTGACAACGCGCACGACAAAAAAATACAGAACAGTAGTGGTCCCGGTACAATGCCAGTCGCTCGTAATAATGCCGAAAAATGCAGGTGAAACAGTCTGGCGCACAGATGAAACATTAAGCTACTTCATACCACCTGAATATTGCCGGTTGCCCGCTATAAACGCCGGTAAAGTCGGCTGCATTACACCGGCACAATACCGGGATCACTTCTGCTGTCTACGACTACCACTACTGCTGTACCTGCATGTCGGCGGAATTGCGCAGCCTCCCTTGCCCCCTCGCCAGGCAGTTCTTTCCCTGCGCCAGCAAGAAGCCCGAATCGCCCTGCACGCTGAGGTCCGACAGCCCCATATTCTTGGCGTTTCCGCTCCCGCACCTGGTCGGTGCAGAGGGTGGATCGCGGGGGCACACCGTTTGTATGAGGGAGCGCACAAGCAGCGGACAGACTCCAGCGCTTTTGTGCGAAGTTGCGACAATGAAATTCAGACTCTTGCGTGTTGTTTATGCATAACGAGGAGTACGGCACGGGAACGTCCACATCAGGCATCCATCCGCCCTCGAGACGTGTTCGAGCTCGATGGGTTGCACCACCGGCGTAGAAATAGGAGTGAGAGCTTGAGGCATTCACCTTGAGAACAAAACGACCGACATCGTACCCCAACCGTACCACGCGGTGAGACAGGGGGGACTCGAAGGACATTTTTTCAAACCGCTCAAGATAAAAAAACATCATCACTTAGTTTCGCCAAACTGGGAAGCTTTCTTGACAACACCCGAAATGCTCAGCCGAAAGAAAGGGCAAGGCGTACAGCAGCAACGAAGNTTTCGTCGCTTGGCAAAGACGTTGTAAAACAAGCCAATTCACTTCGTGAACTCGGCAACCAGGTTACCGTTTTTCTTTTTAAACCTCTGTTTTTT